GGATTAAAATTCACAAAGTCAACCTCAACCATGGTGAGTGCTTTCTCAGATGCAGACCGGGCAGGTTGTCCTGATGACAGAAGATCAACATGAGGTTTTGCTGTTTTCTTTGGACCAAACCTTATTTCTTGGAGTGCACGCAAGCAAGCAACTGTGTCAAGGTCCAGTATTGAAGCTGAATATAAGGCCTTGGCAAATGCTACAGTTGAACTGATATGGATTCAGGCGTTGCTTAATGAACTTGGCATAAAACATTCTACACGGCTGTGGTGTGACAACATTGGTGCCACTTATTTATCAGCAAACCCAGTATTTCATGCAAGAACAAAGCATATTGAAGTTGACTATCATTTTGTTAGGGAAAGAGTAGCCAAAAGACTACTAGACATTCGATTCATCTCTACTAATGATCAGGTTGCATATGGCTTCACCAAAGCCTTGTCATGGCAGAAATTGGAAGATTTCGAGAACAATCTCAACTTGATAAAGTTGTGATTGAGGGGGCGTGTTAAAGTGTATAGATGTAATGTGTATACGATATCTTGTATAAACCGTATACATGTGTAGATAATGATGGTGTTGCGTGTTGTACCTGGTTGTTAGGTTGTTGTGATCGATCTCATAGATTCTGTATATGATATGACTTGGAGATCAATCCACCAACTACCTAACAACTAACCTTGTAATCTTTTGCCTATATATAACATGCAACGCGTCCCTGCAGATGCATACGCTTCACGCAACTTTACAATATCCATGCAAAGAAATGATGCAATTCTCATTTGTAGTTTTCACCTTTGAATTGTGTTGCATCTGATCATGTATTTGTTTGTAACAACTTGGAGTGTGTCCAGGGATGACTGGTGTTCTTTCAATGACCGAGATGTCCTCATCAGCTGCTCCCTCCGATCCTGTTTGACTGGTTTACTTCCACCCGCTATAACCAACTGGGGCAGCTTAGTTGTTGTGCACTGTTGCTCCCTCTGATCCTATTATTTAGTTTGTGCATAACTCGGTTCACGCATACGAGTGAGCCCAATCTTTGAATGATTTTGGACTGTACCACTATGCTGGATGGATTTGCAAAGCTCGTGGGAGGTGGGCGAGGTAAATACGCATGCATGCCCATTGACTAGGATCTAGTAAAGCCGATTAAAGAGGGTAGATTTATCGGGATTGGTTGCGTGCCAAATAAGGAGAGGCGCGTGCACATGCCCATTGGCTAGGATTTGGAAAGCCAAGTCAGATAGCTTAAGGCTGGCCATAGTAGGGGTAACATAAGTAGTATCATGTACTTGGGACTCGCAAACATGCTTATGTGGCAGGCAATTAAAGAAGAGAGAGATGGTTATAGTAACATAGGTAGATACCGTAACATAATAAATGTAATGCTACTGTGTGTCATGCATGGCAATAAATGAGACTATCTATGGTATTATGCACTATAGAGGTAGTAACATAGACTAGTAACATATGCATGTTACTAGTTTAAGTTACTCCCCACTATGACCAGCCTAATAAGAGGTTTCCAGTGAGACACACTACCAAGTGCATGTCTATTAAGGATCCCTAGAAAATGGGAAGGCGTGGAGTAATACCGAAAAAACAACGCGGACTAGATAGAATCATAGGGAGTACTTTTATCTTTCTTGTTTTGCATCTTCCCAGTCTAGTATTTTTTGGGGTTTGTTTGTCTTTTTTCGATTTTTTTTAATTTCCTTTATTTCTTCTTCTTTTTCTCTATTATTTTTCATTTTCTTAAATTCGTGAGCATTTTTTAAAATTTGTAAAAAATTTAAAAATTTATGAACTTTTTTCAATTGAATAAATGTTTTCATTTACACAAAAATTTATCAAATTCATGATTTTTTGGGGTCAAATTCATGAAAAAAATCAAATCTATAAACTTTTTCAGCTTCTTGAACATTTTTCAAATTCGGTAATTTCTTTTGTCAAACTCGTGAATTTTTTTGCATGTGACCAGCTTGGCCCATGGATTTGACGTCCCTGCCGCATGCGCGCTAGTCGCTACATGTGGCAAAAAAATTACAACACCAACACACAAAAATACATTTTTTTTAAAAAAATTGGGTTCTGTCAAAGGTTGGTCCATTTCTATGCCCACCCCTAGCACTAAGGACGAAAAAAAAATTTGAAATAGAAAAGAGTTCATCGATTTGAAAAAAGGTTCACGAGTTAAATATTCTTTTCACGGGAGCTCGTCCATACCGAGTCAGTCCATTGTCACGCGCGAAAGCAGGGGGAAATAAAAATAATAGTTTTAAGTACTTGTTCAAATTATGATTTTAAATATTTTGTCCTTCAAACCTGGCATGGATGCCTATCATGGGCATGCCCACCTGCTCGCAAAAGTTGAGGTCATTTCATGAATGTCCCACAATACCATGTTCAACGGAGGGTGTTTGATTAGATCAGAAGGCTTCGTGTGAAAGCACATTTTTTGGCATATGTGGAAGGATCCCAATTTTTCATGAGCTTATATGACCAATTAAAGGTGACATGCCAAGTTTTTTTAGATTTCGACAAATTTTGCATTTTTGGAGTTTTCTTGATCAAAAAGGGCTGATAAATGACCGTACGCATCACAACTTGCATACCGTGTACAAAATCGTTCGAACCTGACATGGATGTCTATCATGGGCTTGCCCACCTTCTTGAAAAAGTTCAAGTCACTTGAACCATGTCCATACATAGACCATGTTCAATGAAGAGTGTTCGGGTGGTCTAGAAGGCTTCGTCTTCAAGAACGTTGTTTCCTGATATCCTTGAAATGGCTCCAGTTTTTTTCAATGGCCTTGCATGACCTATTCAAGGCACCATGCCAAGTTGTTTGGTTTTCGACAAATTTTGCATTTTCTAGATTTTTCTTAGTAAAAAAAGATCAATGAATGGTCGGATGTTGCATATAGTCTCGAAAATGATTCAAACCTGGTATGGATGCCTACCATGAGCATGCTCACCTGGTTGCAAAAGTTAGGGTCATTTAAATATTTTTCAAACTAGACCATGTTCAACACATGGTGTCCAGGTACGCCAGAAGGCTCCGTCTGAGAGCACGTTATTCCTCAACATCCTTTAAATGGACCCATATTTTTCAATGGCTTTGTATGATCAATTCAAGGCATCATGCCAAGTTGTTTTGATTTTTGACAAATTTTGTGTTTTCTAGAGTTTTCTCGGTCAAAAAGGCTGATAAATAGCCGGACGTGTCACAACTTGCATGCACTGTGGGAAATCGTTCAAACATGGTATGGATGCCTAACATGGGCATGCCCACCTACATGCAAAAGTTGGGCTCATTTCAAGAATGGCCAAAACTAGATCATGTTCAAAGGAGGGTGTTTGGGTAGGCCAGAAGGGTCCGTTTGAAAGCACGTTGTTTCTTGACATCCGTCAAATGGCCCAAATTGTTTTCACCAGCTTTTATGACAATTCATGTCATCATGGCAAGTTGTTCGAGTTTTCGATAATTTTTGCATTTTCTGAAGTTTTCTCGGTGAAAATGGACGACACGGTGTTGGAATTTGTTCAAACCACACATGGATGCCTCATATGTCCGTGTCAAGCTACTGCAAGAAGTTGAGGTCATTTATCCATAGTTCAAAAAACCACCAGTTGAAAGGAGTTTGCTAGACTAGGCCAGGCGGGTGCATCCATGAGCATGTAGTTTTTTCTTAATTGGAATGCCTCTTTTATTTACAATTTTTTTAAATGGGAACATTTTTAAAAATTCTAGAGCATTTTAAAAATTGTAAACAATATTTGATAACAAGAATTTTTTTGGTATTCCAAAAAATATTTCAAATACTTACACATGTTTCAAAAGGAGTAATAAAGTTCAAAAAGGAGAAAAATGAATCAACAAAAAGAAAAGTAAAACAAAAATATAGAAAAAAATGCTTAGGTCGTGGCCCAACTAGGCGAACACATCGCTCCCATCGGGTGCCTGTTGGGCCAGCCCAAGCGTTCGCGGATTTCAAAAAACTTTATAAATTTTGAAAACAAATGTTCATGGATTTGGAAAAAATTGTGGGGTTTGGAAAAAGTTCGTAAAAATTGAAAAGAGTTTGTAGATTTGGAAAAAAGTTCATGGATTTGAAAAACAGAGTTCATAAATTCAAGAAAATATTCACGAATTCTAAAAGTTCATGGATTTAAGAAAAGGTTCACGGTTTAAAATAGTTCACAAATTTTAAAGAAGGAAAACGGGACAAACAAAAACCAAAAAAAATAAAACCACAAATTTTAATAATTGTTCATGTTTCGAAAGATGTTCGTAAATTGTTCATGTTTCGAAATTGTGTTCTATTTTTCAAAAATGTGTGCTCAAATTTCGTTTATAAATTCAAAAACTATTTGACATTTCAAATTGTTCACATTTTTCTCGAGAAAAATTCCATTCTTTTAGAAAATATTTCATATATATAAACGTTGTTTTGTTTTCTTATACTTCGCGCTACAAAATGCCACTAGCAGCAGTGGGGTCAAGTGGCTAGTAACGCGCACCTTTAAGTGCGAGGTCTTGAGCTTGAATCCTTGTGAGCTCCCCCATTTCTCTGTATTATACCGGACACAAGTAATTTCCACCCGGAAAGAAAACGACCAGCACATAATTCACATGGCCTATGTGATTTAAGTCACGATGCTAGTTCAAGATCAAAACAAGTAAAAATCTGAAGAGTGAAGTACACAGCATTTACTTGCCGAGGAGACAGAGACGGAGACTCCACAACTCACCGCACGATCAGTTAGCTCCATATTACAAGCTATGCAAGCCTAGTAGTCTCAATAACACACTATACAGCAAGCTCAAAGCTTGAAATCCAAAACTTACATCGCCAATACCGCGCTGTACTCAGCCAAAACGAAGAAGAAACCGATCATCAAAGAATGCAATGCACGCGCAATACAGAGTGGCAACCAATCGTCTGAAGTTCTGCATTTACATGTGTTTGGCTACGGGATGGCGGAGGCCGTGGTCATTGCTGTGGCCTATGCAGGCGCCGCCATGGACTCAACGTGGTGGATCTGTCGAGGAGCAGCAGGAGGCCAAGGAACGTGGTTGACAAGCCGAACGTATACCTGTGGAGTAGTCATGGCCACAGTTTAGGGTTGCATCAGAGCGAAGAAGGATAATCATAGGTTCAGAACGATTCATGGTATAGAACTACCTGGTAGTAGAGCTTCTTCTCCAAAAGATTACGGAGAGCAACCACTGCAGCAAAGATATTAAAGGTTGTTAATTTCCCAAGGATGAGAACAGTGGCAATGCTATGGAACACCAAACTACTCAAGGGTGGACAAAATTCAGATGGAATTAGCAAAGGCAGTTGAAAAATAAACAAATACAGTATTATATAATGGTTTCCTTTTCCAAGTTACTGCTCCAAATAGCATAACGGAAAAACAGAACAGACGTATCATGCAACATATACTTTCAAGTGGCATTGTATCTCAGTACTACCATGTCTAGCATGCCTGCAGATTGCAGCACACTGCATCTTCACATAATGAATAGATGAATAGACAAAAAGAAAAGGAGTCCAGTCTGTAGTTGTGAATAATTATTAGCTGAAGTATTGTTAGCAGTTGACATAACTTTGGTAAATGAGCTCTATTCACTTCAAAAATTTGTTTATCAAAAATCATCACAACCAATGAAAGCATTTTCATGTAAAGTAACTGTCATTTAAATTTCAATTATTAATGGCCACGATGGATTTACTACTAAAGGGCAACCTGGCGCATGTAGCTCCCGCTTGCGCAGGGTCCAGGGAAGGGTCCGACCACTTTGGGTCTATAGTACGCAGCCTTTCCCTACATTTCTGTAAGAGGCTGTTTCCAGGACTTGAACCCATGACCTCATGGTCACAAGGCAGCAGCTTTACCACTGCGCAGGGTCCAGGGATGGATTTACTACTGACGTGTATTATATGCATATACGATGAAGAAGAATGTAATTGCCGCGACAAACCATTTAGGCATCTCAAGCAACAATTTTGTACTAAAAACAGTGGGGATGGTGTATTAACTTTGACCGATGGAGAAGAATGTAATTGCTGCGACACGCCATTTAGCATCTCGAGCAACAATTTTGTACTAAGAACAGTGGGGATGGTATTTTAACTTTGACTAAACACACACAATGATGATATAAAAAATAACTTACGGTAATTTCATTTATCTAGTTTTATCTCCCACGCAGCCATACTTGCAAAATCCCATTCATCTAGGCCACCACCAAAATCTTGCACTAAATATATTAATCACATGCAATGCAACTATTCTGCAAATGTGCAACTCTCCAGTGTACTAAAATTAGCACCTTAAGCACATAGTGCTAATGCACTCTCCCAAATGTATTAAGTAACTAAAAATGAATCCACAAAATGAAAAGTACTTATATGCTCTCCTAACAAGAGACACAAACTAAATCCTTAAACATCTCCAAATACAAATATGCGCAGCCAAGTCACTAAATTGTCAACTCAAAGTTTTAATAAACATCAAGTTTGTGTTAACAGCAAAGGGTACACAGCTGATAATCACACCTCCAAAGCAAGTTCATGCACTCAATCTAGCTGCAAATGTTGAATTGCTTATAAACACATCAGATGGCATCAACTTAACAAAGAAACAACAGCAAACCATCAGCACCCTAAAAATAGTTCAGAGTATTAACTGGTGCCTTGCTGCTTCAATTCAACAGAAATCAAAATTTCAGTTCATTTTACAAAGTTTAAGAAATGTCAAAATTCTGGTTCTGTCCCGCACCCAGCCAAGATTTGCAATGCATTTCATCCGAGGCACAACCAAAATCTCCCAAACTAAATCCATCAATCACATGCAATGCAACTAAATTCTACAAATGTGCTAGCCTCCAAATTTAGCACCAATATCCTGAAGTTAGCACCTGATGAGATTAGCAAATGCACGAACGATGTTTGCTAAGGCATAATGAATTTAAAAACTTACTAATAATGACCCAATGTTGAGCGAACTCAATTATACCTTGCAAATTCCTAATGCCGAGAATCTCTTCACCGGGACAACAGCCTTTTTAACAATGCTTTTCCTCTCAGAGACCACTTCCCAGCAGAGTCGACGAGCCATCTCCCTTGCCATGACCAATTGTGCTCTCTCCGCCCGGAGCGCCGCAATCTCTCTGTGCATTGCCGCTCTGTCCGCCTCCAGCGCCTCCACCCTCGCATATAAACCCCCTGCATTGCCGGCTACATCCCCCACGTACTCCCCCACCACCGCCACGGCCGCCATCGTCGGGCTCGCGCACCTGACATCCACCGTGTACTCGAACTCTTTCTCCACAGGGGCAGTGGATTGCTCTTGCTCTTCCTCCTCGACCATGGCTTTCACCTCCATGCCAGCACTGACTAACAAGTCGGCGCCGTCCCCCTCTGCCTCGGGCGCGACCAGGTCGTCGATCTGGTCAGCGTGCCCGCGCTGCTCCTCGTAGAGCTCCTCGTCCTCCTCGTCGGAGAAGGTATCGGGGTCGATCCCGTGGGACTGGAGGCGCGAGTGGTAGGATGCGGCGAGGTCGGAGAGCGAGGCGAGCTCCTCCTGCACCTCGCGCTCGTGGTCGGCGCGGCCCTCGGCGTAGCGGCGGAACTGGCGGGCCTCCATCTGGGCCGCGGCCTTTTCCCGCTGCAGGCGCTCGATCATGAGCATGGCCTCGCTGGCGGCCGTCTCGGCCGAGGCCCGCTCGGCCTCCAGCTCGCCCTGCAGGCCCAGCGCCGACTCCTCGGCCGCCTCCTTCTCCATCGCCAGCCGCGCCGCGGCCGCCTCCAGCTCCTCCACCCGCCGGAGCAGCTCCGCCGCGCCCGCTCCTCCGGCGCCCGCCCTCGGCGACGGCTCCGGGGACCCCGCGGGCGGCGGCCTCCGCTTCACCGACCGCCGCGACTCCTGCGGGGAGCAGGACGACGAGGAGGGGGAGGGGTCCGCGAGCTGGTCCATGGGGGCAGCATGTATGTGCCCCGCGGGATCCGCCGATCCCCAGCCCCGGATCCCGGCCCCCGCCGCCGGCGGCGTCAGCGCGGCCGCCGTGGGTGGGGCCGGCCGGCCGGCGAAGGTCCCTTTCGGCGGGGAGGGAAGGGGGAGGGGAAAGGCGGGCAGTAGTGGGGTGGCGTGAGTTGGACGGGACGTGAGCTGAGCTGAGCTAGGCTGGAAGAGGCCAGCGGCAGCGACAGTGCTCAATAATTCGATCGATCGGAAATGATCCGGATAGTGGTACGATTAGATTAGCTGGGAATAAGCAGGTGGGCCGGTGGGCCGGCATCATCATCGCATCACGCCGGTGAGCTTTCCACGTCGCCCGCGCGGAAAGAAACTGTAAAAAGAATGAAGCGGCCGCCACTCACGATTTAATCTGATTTGATTTAATCTAGCCTTTCCTTCGCGCGTTTGGGGAAGAACAGAGGAAAGGCGCGCACTAGCTTGGCAACTTGTGGATTGTGTGGTGTTTTTCTCAGCTACAACAAAAAAAGGAACTTCTCGCGGGAAAATAAACAACAAAAAAGGAACTTGGGAATTGATTCAGTGGCATACGGT